GAAACCAGCAGAACGTTTTTTTTACCCAATGTTTCTCCAAGTTATTTAATTATGATATATTTTTTCTTTTGTGATATAATAGTAGTGTTCAGCTAAATACACAGAGAAGTAATGTCTTACACTTACTTAAAAGATCTTGGGAAGCAGTAGAGCAAAGATAATAGAGTTTTAAAAAACCACCATGGCTGGTTTGGCTCAGCGGTTAGAGTGTTGGTCTGTGGTCCAGACAGACCCAGGTTCGGTTCCCGCTAAGGGCACGTACCTTGGTTGCAGTTTGTCCCTGGCCCTGGTTAGGTCGTACGGGTGGCAGCCACTCAATGTGTACCTTTCATGTCTATGTTTCTCTCTCTCTCTCTTCCTCTCTCTCCCTCCTGCTCTATCTAAACAAAAAATAAAAATAAAATATCCTCTGGTGAGGACAAAAAAAAAAAAATCTAGTGAGGAACATATATTTAAAAAAATAAATGGAAAAGACTGGAAACAATGTTCAATTCTGTGGCAATAAGAACAATGAAGATATGCTAATATGTATAATAAGTTTATACTCATGCCTTGCTATCTCAAATTTTTCTTTTATTATTTTCCCATAACAACAACAAAAAATCCTTAGAAAATTATACTATAAATTCTTAGGGGAGAGGATGCTCATTCTTTTTCAAGATAAAAATAAAGTATTGCCCTGGCTGGTTTGGCTCAGCGGTTAGAGTGTTGGCCTGTGGACCAGAGAGCCCTGGGTTCAGTTCCCGCTAGGCGGTTACAGTTTGTCCCCACCCTGGTTGGGGTGGTGTGGGTGGCAACCACTCATTGTGTCTCTCTCACATTGATGTTCCTCTCTCTCTCTTCCCCCCTCTCTCCCTCCCGCTCTATCTGAAGATAAATGCGAAAATATATTCGGGTGAGGATAAAAAAATAAATTAATAAAAATTAATAAAGTATTAAAATTATACTGACATGAAAACTTGAGTAATTGCTAGGAAGGGGCAATCATGATACATACTTCATAAGTATCTCTACAGGTAGCCATGTACATGTATGAGGCACAGGTCAACCACCATTTCTATCATAGACTAATGTTTACTGAGTAACTGTCAGGTATGTGCCATTATAATATGCTAAAAGGGTTTGTTACCACAAGGAAACATAAAATTAATAAAGAAAAATTTAATGATCTTTACTATATTAGTCCAAGGTCATTTGTTGAGTACCTACTAATCCAAATCCTGGAAAATTAAAAAAAAAAAATAGCATTGGTAAAGCAATTTATCTGATAACCAAGATAATTTATTCACATATCTACATACTATAATTTGATCTCATAGTGATCTTGTATTTAGGTTCCAAAATTTTACCCATGTTATAGGCAAGGAAGCTGAAATAAAGATCAAATGGATTCTCAGGTTACAAAGTTCATAAATAGGATGACCTGACTTCTTTCAACATATCAATGACATCACTCACATACCCAATTTGATTTGTAAGGCAGTGGGTGAAAGACTTAACAATATCACAAATTTTCCTTTTTGAGTTCAAGGCAACCTTAAATAAAGTGTACCTTTCTTTTGCCAACAAATTCTGGATATCGTTTACTACAAAAGATAGAACCTCAAATATACTATTACGATTCTATTCTCAGAATAATATAAATAGAGATGGAGGTGCAGAGGGAGAACAAAATAAAGTTGGAGTGATGGTACACTTATTTGGAATTGGGAACCTAGGGGAATCCTTAGATAATAAATCTGGATGATATGAATGACACAACAGGGTTGTCATCTATATGTTCCTTAGGGTAGGGATTTTTGTTGGTTTATTTCATGTATTTTCTGTGCCTAAAACAGTTCCTGGCACACAGTAAGAGCTTAGTTTTTGAATAAACAAATGTAAGAATTTAGTTATATAGTCAAATAGACATGGAATCCTATTTCCTACTCTGTTAAATGGGGAAATTGGTCTCATGAGGGTAACTGTAAGTGTTTAAATATTTCATTTAAAATGCTTTTCATGGTTTTGGGCACAAAATTAATATTTAATATGCTAGCTATAATGTATACTAATAAGTACATGAGATAACTTTCCAGAATTAAAATGCGGTACAGTCTTTTAAACTATGAAAGAGACCTCCATTGGCCATTTGACTTTTGGAAATAAAAGTAATTTTTATTTTATGAGAAAAAAGGATATAACCATTTTTATGCTTAACCTCTAAATATTAACCACTTCTATACTAAAATCCTCTCTTTTTTAATTCTTATGGTGACTTCAATATTGTAGTCTTGAATTTTTCTGAATAAATTTATCTTCTAGAGATTGGGAAATAAAATATTTCTTAGTCATTCAATCAATCAGTCAAGTGTAGTCCCATTAGTAGTTGTTGAATCAATCTATGACAGGTACAATTTTTATCTACTGGTTGAAAGAGAAACACATGCTCTGTGGATTCTAGGGAAGTCCTCTTATAAAGAGGAAAAGGAAAAATAAAAATAGCTTCATTTAAAATTACTAAACTCTACTTATTCATTAGTGTAAAGAAAGTATTATAATTCAATGTACAGATAGTGCATCTTTTAATTTCTTCAGTAGATATATTTCAGACTCTTCCAAAAGTCAAAAGTCTTAGTTTTCAGTCTTTCCTCAGAATTTTTTTTCTTCTGTAGTTTGGGGAAATTTTTTTTAAAAAAGGTTTTTCTTTTTTGCCCTGGTCGGTTTGGCTCAGCAGTTAGAGTGTCAGCCCGCAGACCAGAGAGTCCCGGGTTCAGTTCCCACTAAGGACACGTACCTCGATTGCAGTTTGTCCCCAGTCCCCGTTGGGGTTGTGTGGGTGTCTCTCTCACATCGATGTTTCTCTCTCTTTCTCTTCCTCCCTCTCTCCCTCCCACTCTATCTGAAGATAAATGAAAAAAAAAAAATTGTCCTCGGGTAAGGATAAAAAAGGTGTGTTTTTTTTTTCCCTTTAATAAAATTTTCACTAAAAATCTTTCTTCCCAATATTAACTCAATTTAAAACTAAGTGAAAAAGGTGGTAGTAATGAGATCTGAATTGGGATCTTTCATGGTGGCAAAAGCAATACCCTAGAGAAGGCATTTAGACTCGCCACCGAGGAAGCTGACGGTCTGACTCTTCTAAATTAAAAGGAAAACTCAGAAGCTTTTTAGACACTTGCAGATGAAGAAGACAACTCTACCAAAGGTTTCTGTGTCCAGGCTAATTTGTGAGTTAATCTGATAGTCTATTACAAAATTTATATAAATCCAGTTTTCCCCATGTTAACATAGTTCTTGCTTTATATCTGCTTTGCTGTTCTAGAATATGGTAGTTTCAATAATTATTTGAACTTATTTTCAATCTTCATTTTTTCTTTCTTTCATAACTAAACATGTTTTTGTATTATTTATAACAGTCAATATATCATCCAGTTTTTAAATTTTTTTCTTTACTAATTTGAGAGAGAGAGGAAGGGAGAGGGAGAGAGAGATAGAAACATCAATGAGAGAGAACATTGCCCCCGCTGGGGATTTGGCCCACAACCTGGGCATGTGCCCTGACCAGGAATCAAACTAGTGATCTCTTGGTGTGTGGGTCAATGCTCAACCACTGAGCCACATTGGCTGGACAGAGTTTTTTAAACAATGCTCTTAACTCAAGTTTGTTTGTTTGTTTGTTTGTTTTAATTTACTGGATCAACACAATGATGCTTATTTGTGGAAATATTTCAGAAGCTTGTGATGCAGTGTTTCACACTTGTGTTGTTTAAGAGGGTTGATATTTATTAGCTGAATCATATTCCAGAGAAATATCTTAAATACCTCTTCTGGATAAACATCTGAAATCTTCCTTTTCTTTCATATGCAGGACAAATTGAGCTATCAAAAACAGAGAACATCTTTAGAAAGAAATATGGGACTATTTATTTGGGTGTAGTAGAAAAAAAATATTAATGATCATCTCTTCTATTCTCACATCCTTGGATTTAGAACAAAATATTCTCAAGCTCAAGTACTGGGATTGATATGACCAATAAAAAACATAGCAGAAAAAGAGGTATATTTGGGCCATGTCTGGCCAGTTTAGGTGTGCCCATCAAGGTATAGATATTTTATTTTGTTCTCCTCCTCCCCAGCTCTCCATCCTCACTCTATGCTCTGACCTTTAAAACAAGGTTTAAATCTTATTGGGTTTACATCATAGTGGGGACTCATTTCTTATTGTCTCATTTTCTTTCTAAGAACCCCTGAGTGGATCAGAATGTAATAGAGAAGTATTTAGGGTAATATATTTCAGTAAATGTTAATAATTAAAACATGCTGTACTAAGTGATGCTAATCAATTGAAAATGATCTTTAATACATTTTATATTACAGACAAAAACTACGCCATAGTCACACCTAAACATGACATAATTTTCTCCTTTAGTTCAATAAAATAACCATAACCAATATTGAGACGTCCCGTATACAAATTTTCACATTCTATTTTCATGTATATCAAAGCAAGGTGATCATACACAATTTTGAAAAACCTACCGTGCAGAGAGAAAAAGAAAAGGAAAGATTTATGTTGCTGTGTTTCTGCGAAGGGCCACGGAGTTAAAATAACTCTTTTTTGCAACCTTTTCTCAAATATATTTACAGCATCTTCGATGAGTTGCCAGTGGAAGTTTGTTTAGTTTGCACACTACTCAGCAAAGGAATGCTCTACTTATGTCGAGTTTCTACTTGTTCATTAAAGATAATTGTTGTTGACTGTGTTTGAGACAATCCACGTTGCTAAGAATACTAAGATGATAGTTGCAGTCCCTGCCTAATGAATTTTACAACTTATTTGGGGAAGACAAATGAATAAATAATTACAAAGTATTACAAGTAATTGCAATGCACAGTGATGGTGGCTTACGTAGGATGCTGAGAGTACAGATTAGGGACATCTAAATCATCTTGGAAGGCGTGCAGGATCGGCTTCCAGAGGGAGACAATAACTGAGCTGTCTTCATAAATGAGGGGGTATGGTGAAAGGTTACAAGGAGGGGGAAAGGACATCAGGTAAGGAAGGAAATGGGGTGAATGAATATGATGTATTGGAGGATACAATGGGGATAGAAACTAAGAAGAAAATGAAGTACAAGTGGAAATATGGAAATACACTCGAGATATATTTAGGACATGTAATCAGCAGGCCTCTGCAAAAGGGTGGAGAACATGGAGGTTACTTTTGGATGACTTCCAGACTCCTGGTTGCAACTGTAAGTGGACCATGATGTTATTTAATAATATAGGGGATGTGTTTGGAGGAAAGATTAATAGATCATGCATTCAATTTGGGATTTATGAAGTTTAAATTTTCTGTGGTATATTTATTTTTCTATAGCAAGTTAGATATGTGGGTCAATAGTGAAATAAACCCATATATCGCTTTATATTCTATCCCCCCCAACTTTTCAAAGGATATGTGTGATGTTTGGAATGTCTGTCTTTTTCTATGCTCCTTGAAGGAGATGCAGCTAGCACAGCATTTTAACCAAATCGAATTTCTATGATTGTTACCAGAATGAAACTCGTCCACAACAATTGTTTCAATTAGTAGCTAAACCTTATAAGCCAAATATTCTTGAGGGACTAAAGTGCTTAGCATGTACTAAATTCTGAGTAAATGCTTGCTGAATAAATAATCGAATAGTTTAATAATCACAGTGTGATGTTAATGCTACATCAAGTTCTATATCCAGAAAGAAAGAAAAAAAGGCTTTAAAATAATGGTTCTGATTAACCTCCTCTATTTTTCTATTGGTTCACTATTAACATCTTCTAATCTCTCATACTTGATTATGGCGAAAACAAACATTTGCTATTTGTTTAATCTACATAACTTAATCCCTTTAACTATCAAATGGCAGGACCCAAAGGATCCCTCACCACATATTTGAGACCCAAGATAAAATAACTATCTCAGAGGGATTATGAGAACAGAATGGTCAAAGAAAGAATGCTAATACCAAATAAAAAATATTCCATAATAATTTAATTTATTATAGTGCAGCTTCAAGATGTTTAACAAAGTACGTGGTGCCTAGAAAACTTAGCCCAAGCCAATGAGGATGATAAAGTAATTTATGCATAAAAGTTTTACTGGGTTTATATTTGTAGGAGCCACGAACCTCAATACAAGTAAACCTTAAAGAACTTCCCCTAAAGTACCTTAGCATTCTGCGAAGTACTGCTGCATTTAAAATTAAAGAAAACCAAGAACAATATATTTACATCTTACCTACTAGACGGCATTTCTATCTACCCTAACATGAAATGAAATTTTTTCCATAAATTTAATTCCAATTGTCAGAGGCACTTTTTCCTTACCAAATGTCTTTCAGAATACTAAGGGCAATTTTCAAGCATTAATTGTAATTTCATTCCCTAATTTTCAGCATTACATAGATGATTCTAAGCTTCACATTAGTTTATTAAATCCCTAGAAATATATTTCTGAATATTAGGTAAATAACACTATATTATGGTTTCAAACAAGTGACTTTATACTGTATAGTTGATAAATGAGGCTGTTCCTATATGAGAATAGCTCTATAGAAAAAAGGAAAAAAGAAACATTTGTTTACACAAATTTACATAGAGATCAGAAAGAATTTTTTGAAGTTTTATAATGTATTCTACATATTTGTGTATTTTCCATTTTAATTTTGATTAAAGATGAGAAAAACTCATAAAACATATATCTGAGTAATGATGGCATCTAGTAAAATGCAATAAGAATTTGGAAATGATTCAAGATCCTATAAAAATTCTTATGATATTTTTTGCCTCCTCCAAATGGTTTGCTTATTCAGCATACAGAGTACAAAGTTTAGATATTAATCTTCTAGTCAATTCAAAAGTGCGTGTTAGATAGGTTTTTTTTCAGGCTAAGATGTATATCTACAGCTCTGTACTAAATAGATAGATTATATTTGGAACACACTCACTCGTTCTAAAAACAAGGTTTGCTCATCTGCTCTTAGAATTAAACATGCTCCCCCAGCAGAAAATGTACCTGAATTTGGTAAAGAGAATTACTAAAGAGCAATAAAGCCAAAAAAAATTAAAGCTGCAACATTTCAGGTTGATTTTTATCTAAACTGTGTCTCCCTAATAAATGATTTACTGTTTAGAATTAAAGTAATATTTAACATAAATATATGATTTTAGACCTAGATGAAATCTTTGAAATCACCTACTCTAACTTCCTCTATTTCTTTTCTTTCTTTTTAATATATACCTTACAAAGTGATCTCCCCAATAAGTATAGCATCCACCTAGCACCAAACATAGTTATTACAGTATTACTGACTGTATTCTCTATGCTGTACTTTATATTCTCATGACATTTTTTTTTATAACTGGCAATTTGTACATCATAATTTCTTTCCCTTTTCACCCATACACCTAACCCACCTTCCTATCTAGCAATCATCAATTTGTTCTCTTTATCTGAGTTTGTTTTCATTGTGTTTTTTCACTTATTTTGTTTTTTTTGATTTCACATATAAGTAAAATTATATGGTATTTGTATTTCTCTGTCTGACTTATTTTACTTAGAATAATACCCTGTAGGTCCATCTATGTTATCACAAATGCTAAGATTTCATTCTTTTTTTATGGCTGAGCAATATTCCACTGTATATATGTATCACATTTCTTCATCCATTCCTTTATGAATAGACACCTAAGTTGCTTCTATATTTTCACTCTTGTAAATAATGCTGCAGTGAACACAGGGGTGCATTCTCAAAAATAAATATGATTGGTTAATCCTCCAAATGTCATTGTATAGAGCAAGGTATTTTGTGAATATTAACAAACTGATTTTAAATTTTATATGGAATGGGAAAAATCTAGAGTAGCCATCACAGCATTAAAGAAAAACAACAAAATTGGAGAACTAACACTACCTAACTTCAGCACCTGCTATGTAAAGCTATAGTGTTCTTTCCATTGTTTCTATCCTGGCCTCGGTTTCTTTGTATACACGTGCTGGTTCATGCTCTTCTCAAGACTTAAGGGGGCCTTCTACCAATCTCCAGAACATTTTATCTCTCTATTCCTCTCTCCCTTCTTTCTGCGGCTCTCTACTTTACATTACTCTGACCTGTCTTGGCCTTTCTGTATTTCTAGCTCCATTTAATTATCTCCATCACTTACTGAGGCCTTGTAACTTTCTCAGGGCACTAAGCTGGAAGAATTATAGGGTGCACTTTATTTGTTTACTATCACTTAAGGATCATTGTCCCTTGTTGGCTGATGCCCATATCTTTAAAGCCATTGTTTTATATATTTTGTCTGTTTTCTATAGTTTCAAGTGTGAAGACTAATGGGTCTCTGCTATTTCAGCTTAGCTAAAAGTAGAAGTCACTAATACATTTTTAAGAGTCAAAACAGCAGTATTAATATTTATTCCATTACAACAGAATATGTTAAGTACATCCTATGAGAAGCTAAGTGAACAGAGATTTAGAAAGGAGAAAGTGGTCAATAGAGTTGAACATGTTCCTGGGTCTTGGCAGGTAGGGTAGAACTGGTGATCAGAGAAGCCTGATGAATAGAATGGTGGGAACAGAAGCTAGACTGTAGTGAATTAATGATGAAATGGGAGCTAAGAGGTGACCAAAGAGCAAAAAATAATGGCAATCTTAGAAGCTGAGTTGAGCAGTGATAGAAGAGTATTGGATGTATAAAAGAAGACAGACTCAAAGGAGATTTGTTTGTTTCTTTGTTTTTACTGTCACAATCTGTTGAGATAAAAACAAAAAGAAAATTAAAACTGACTATGGATTGAACAAAGGTTGGCAAACAATGGCCTGTGCACTGGCCACCAGTTTCTGTAAATAAAATTTTATTGTAACACAGACATTTTTATTCATTTACATATTGCATATGACTGCTTCTGTATTACCACAGCAGAACTGAATAGTTGCAACAGAGATCATATGGCCCTAAATCCAGAAACATATACAGTCTGATCTGTCACAGTAAATTTACCAACCCCTGTACTAGGATTTCTCATGCCATAAAAGCAAATGATATTTCTAGTCATTAGAATTCTAAATTCAGCAGCAGTTGTTTTTTAATGTATTATACTGGGACAGATAACATATTGATAATCTTAATGGAAATTTTTAAAAATTGTCTTGGGCCTGGCCAGTGTGGCTCAATGGATTGAGTGTCATCCCATGAACTGAGAGTTTCCAGTTCGATTCCTGGTCAGGGCACATGCCCGAGTTTTGGGCTTGATCCCCAGTAGGGAGTGTGCAGAAGGCAGCCGATCAATGTATCTCACTCACATCAATGTTTCTATCTCTCTCTTACTCTCTGTCTGAAAAACAAATAAGAAGATATTTTAAATAAATAAATAAAATTGGCTTGGATTTTTCATCTTGAATACTGAAGGGTTAAAAGTAATGTCTCAAAAACAGTTTGTCTTATGAATATAAAATTGAAAAATGAATATAAAATTGCACACAAGAGTTTGTGAACAAATTATTTTTTAATGGTGCAATAAAATTAAACTGAAAGTTTTGTTATTTAAAATAACTTTTTAATTAGTAACTTGGCATAAACATTAAATTACATATCCCATAAAATTTCCATAAAGAATAACTGAGGTCTATATTGTTTGATTTTGATTTTCAAATTTATAATGTTCTATCATATTCAGTGGCAATTCAATAAGAATTGAGTGATTTAGTCTTTAATAATTTTTTTTAACTTTTTTAGGTACAGAAGTCAAGCCTAAGCCTCCACGTATGTCATGTGCATGTCTAAATAAATAAATAAATAAATACAACAAATCTTAAATGCATGCTTTTAATCATCTTATGTTGAGTATTCCATTGTTGAGTATTTTGCTTAAATCCAAGACTTAATTATTCTGTAAAGACAATGTGCCTATTATCCTAAGTATTCTTCTGAGAATATGCTATGCTAAAATTTTCCTTCTCCTTTATTCGCTGGAGGGACAAACCAGTACCTTCAATTAACTTCTCATTAAATTTTTACTTCACATTTTATTTTTTCACAAAATAACTCTTGCAATCGACAATGAAGAACTTTTATTTGTTTGTATTAATTTGCTGCATAAGAGAAAGAAAATTAACATGGAATATTTAAAAACTGAATAATATGTAAATGATATAGGTGGGTAAAAGTAGGTTTACAGTTGTGATTACTCAAATGTTAATTCTTATATTATTATTTAATAATAGTTGCATTATTTTCCATATAAACAACTATAAACCTACTTTTTCTCACTTGTGTATGCATGAGTACAAGAAATAAATATCTTTATATAGTCATCATTATTACTGCATTTCTATATTTTCAGAGCCACAAGTAAAAAAAGAAGAGAAGCCAGGTATGTATATTTTTTAATAAATTTATACTTGAATTGCATATTTATAATTAATAATGCATCTTTGCTAATATTGTGCCCTAGTGCATAATATTTACACTAAAATTTTATCCTTGACTAACTTCTTAAAATAAAACAAACATAGTATATATTTTGTACTACCTGTTACTAGGGGAAAAACAAAAGAAAACAAAAACTGACAAATTTATAGGGTTTAGAAAAAACAGTTGACTAATTGAGTTCAGTCCTACAAAACCACTATTTTTGCTGATTCTATTTGCTGATATAAGATATAAACATTCTGTTAGAAAAACAGCTGCTCTCACTCTTTTCTTTTTTGGAGGGGGTGCTCCTGAGTATTTAAAAATTTATAAGTGCTCTAGCAGGCAGCAGAAACTTTTAAAAAGAGCAAAGAGAATTCATAGTCTCATAACAGTTAAAAATTTGGTTCATGTTCCATAACTATACTAGGGTTGTAGGGCTGCTGTAATAAAATTCCACAAATTAGGTGGCTTAAAACAACAGAAATTTATTTTGACATAGTTCTAGAAGCTAGAAATCTGAACTCAAGATGTCAATGGGACTGTGTTTTTCTTGACAGTTGTAGGGAAGAAGAATTCTTGTGTCTTCTTGGTTTGTAGAAACATCACTCCAATCTCAGTTTCTGTCATCAGTTTCTGACATCGTCTCTATTTGTATCTCTATCTTTGTACCTTTTATCTTCTTATAACACCCGCCATATTGAATTAAGGACCCACCCTACACCCATATGACAAATTCTTAATTAATTATATCTACCATGATTCTTTTTCCAAATAAGATCACATTCTGACTCCTGGGTGTTAGAACTCCAGCATATCGTTTTGACAGGTACAATTCAATGCACAGAGGTTTATTCTCTGGACCGCTCCCAATTTTATGTCATTCACATGGTGCAAAATATATTCACCCCATTTCACAGTCCTGAAGTCTCATCCATTTCAGCATCAACTCCAAAACCAACTCCAAAATTTCATTAAAGTCCCAAGTCTCATTATGTAAATCAGTTATGCATGAAACTCAGAATATAATTCTTCCTGCAGAAAATTCCTCTCCATATGTGAACCTATAAAATCAGAAAACAAATTACTGCTTCCAAAATAAAACAGTGGGACAGAAATAGGATAGACATTTCCATTCCTAAAGGGAGATATTGGAAAGAAAAAAAAGGAGCCATGGGTTCCAAGTAAATTCAAAACATAGCAAAAAAATTCCATTACATTTCAAAGCTTGAGACAATCCTCTTTGGCTCACTACTGTGTCCTGTGGGCCTGTAGGGTGTGGCCCTGCCCTCCTGAACCACCTAGATGGCAGGCCAGCCCTCTCTACATGAAGAGGTTCTATCAGCCCAGGTTTGAATCCAATGTTCTGCCCTGGAGTTGTTATTCTTTTATTTTATCCCATATCTTCCCTTCCTAACCAGGTTGTATTGCTTCTGTTTGTATAATATTCTCAAAAACATGACCAGTCATGCTTTCAGTTATTAGGGGTCCAAGCCTTTGTGCAGGAAGGTCCTCCACAGATCTTTCCTGGATCACCTCATCTCGATTGCTGCCTTCTGCTGAGATGGTGGGTTGGATCCATGAATTACACATTCATTCTTTACCCACTTTAGCAAAAACTTGTCCAGCCACACAATTGGCCCTGTCTCTAATGCACGCTATTTAGATGGGTTGAACATTTTCCAGATCATCAGGTGCTGGGTCCTTTTGCTTAATAGTTCATTCTTCAACTTATCTTCCCTTTCATATTTTATTCTAAGCAGCAAGGAGAAATCTGGTTGACTCTTTCATACTCTGCTTGGAAATTTTCTCAGCTAAATATCCATTTTCTTTGCTTATAAGTTTTATCCTTCAGCCAACAAAGGAACACAATTTAGCCAAGTTCTCTGCCACTTTATACCAAACATCACCCTTTCTCCAGTATCCAATAACAGGTTTCTCATTGTCTTCTGAGATCTCAACAGAATTACATTTAACATTCTTATTTCTAACAATATTCTGTTCATGATAGCATATGTATTCTCAAAAGAGACAGAAGGTTGTTCTATAGGTTTCCTCAACTCTTTCTAAAGCTTCAGCAGAATATTCTTTAACATCAATATTTCTGCCAATAGTCTTTTCCAGGAAATCTGGGCTTTTTATATCAAGTGCCTCAAAAATTTTGCAGCCTCAACCCATTACCGAACTCCAAATCTACTTCAGTATTTATAGGTGTTTATTACAGCAGCACCCCACTTCCCAGTACCAAAATGATGTTTCCTTGGAAGGGTGGAATAAAGTACCATCTGCTGGGTAGGTTAAAACAATAACATTTTATTCTTTCATATTTCTCGAAGATACAAGTCCAAAATCAAGATGCCAGCAGAGCCACACCTCTTTTAAAGCTTATAGAGAAGAATCTTTCCTTACTTCTTCTAGCTTCTGATATTTGCCAGAAATCCTTAGTATTCCTTGGTTTGTAGGAGCATCACTTCAGTCCCTGCCTCCATCAGGACATAGACATCTTCCTGTGTGTTTCTACCCCTGTTTCTCTTTTCCTTAAGGACATCAGTCAGATTGGATTAAGGACCCACACTACTCCAATATGACTTCATTTTACCTAAACGAATCACATCTGCAACAATTCTATTTCCAGATAAAGTCACATTGTTGGGTACTGGGGTTAAGATTTTAACATATCTTTTGATGGGACACAATTCAAGCCATTAGACTATTTATGCCAATTTCTAAATCACTTAAGTACCCAATTATATTTATTTCAAAAAGACCCTTCCACTTGGCAGGTGTGGCTCAGTGGATTGAGTGTCATTCTATGAACTGAGAGGCCCAGGTTCGATTCCCAGTCAGGGCACATGCCCGGGTTGCAGGCTCCATCCCCAGTAGGGGGCGTGCAGGAGGCAGCCATTTGGTGTTTCTCTTTCACATCAATGTTTCTCTCTCTCCCTTCTTCTCTCTCTAAAATATATCAATAAAATATATTAAAAACAAAAACAAAAAAACACAAAACTCTTCCGACTCTTGTCAAATTATCTCATGTTGATGTTGGAACTACTCTTCATAATAATCATCTTGAGAAAACAAAATTCAGGTTAAAATCAGTTAGCAGTAGCAACAACTTAGTGTATGGCATGGTTCTTACTGTGTGTTTAATAGCCCAGCATTGAGAAACTGGCATGAAACTGGAATAATTTTTAGTGCAATTCTGCTTTTTCAATTATAGTAAACAAAATAATTTCCAGAAATCAATTTGTGCTCTAGTTTGTTTTTTCAGATTTTTAAATTTCTGCATTTTGTTTTCCCTCCAGAGCCTCAAGTAAAAAAGGAAAAAAAATCAGGTATCAATATTATTATTCTCTGATTGATAGAGCTGATATTGTCATTTTAGAACTAAAAGAGGCTTACCACCCACCAGTGGCTGTTTACATAAAGTCTCCCAGATCCTCATTATTTTTTCTACTTCATTGATCAATGTGGTTTTATAGTACTGGATAAGTTGAGAATGGGGATATCCCATAGGCAAAAATACAAAGATGTGGCTTTAAATGAGCTTCAGAAGAGACTCAAGTTTTAGGAAGCATTTCTTGGGGTTCTTCAAAACCAAGTATGATCATGTTTAATTTGTGGATTTCTTTCTGATAACACACCAGAGTCATAAAATCGCAAAAATCATAGACTACTGAGATTTGAAGGTAAAGAGGACAATTATTGTTGTTATATATAATTACATATAATTGATAGTTATTAAACACCTTCTATGAGTTCAGGAATGGAACATAATTTTTATTTTCATCAAATAACTATGAGAGACATGAAACAAGAGAGTTATTACTCATATTTAATATTTGTGGAAACAACTCAATAGACCAAATTCAGAAATTGTTATTTTACTAAGATTTTCAAGTTAATAAATATTGGAGCTAGGATTCTACCCATGTCTGATTTACTCAAAATCCTGGGTGCTCCCGATAAGAGATTATTTCAGACTACCAATCATTTTATTAAGAGTTAACAATGACCTAAAATCAGGATGATTTTCCAAGTTTATCTTGCTATTTAGTGTTTATGTCCTAGCTCTGGTACCAACTAGCTATTTACCTGAGGCAAGTTACAAAAACCCTCAGGCTCTATGGGAGTGATTTCTTCATTATAAAAATATTACTCAGCAGGATTTTTCAATATCAACAAGTTCAAGAATCCAAGTCTAGATATATATACAATATTATATTACCCATTTAATTCTTACCAGATCTTACCTAGCAGCTGACTATAACCTTAAGTCTAATTGCTCTTATACACAATATATATTTAATGTAACAAGCCTCATAGAGGCTTAGCTGTTGTTTTCTGATTTAGTTTTATGACTATAGTTATTCATCGCAGATTAGCATATATTATCAGATATAAATACTTTACATATTCCCTGCTCTTTCCTTTTTTTTTTAAACCAGGAACCTAATACCTTTAAAACTGCTAGTTAGTCATAATACCATTTAAAACTTTATTGATAAATAGTGTAGTTTTGCAGTAATATAATTGAATGTTATTATTTTTTATAAATAAAATTTTAGCTTCATCTAAAAAAGTGCAAATACACAGTGTATATATAAATTTTATCTGTAATGCTCATATAAACTATTTTACAAAACTTTTTGAAATATTTTTAATATATATTTTCATATTACTTTATTTGACCATTGTACTCTAGTCCAACCACCGTCTAAGCTCTCTGTTTCAGTATTGATGCTGTATTATAGCCTGATCTTTGGATATTATGGGTACTTAAATGTAAATAATAATTTTGGTATATTATTTTTATGCAACTAAAACCTTTAAGGTTTTCATGTAAACTAGGATGACATGAAACATCAAGAATATTTTTTTTTTCCATGAGCAAACTTATGGAAATTGTTTACTTAACAAATTATTGACCTAAGTCACAGAGAAAATTCACTGTGTGTTAGTTTATAAAGCTGAACACCTGAAAAGATTTCTTTTTATTATTTTTTAGAACAAGATACAGTGAAACCAGAAAAGACTGTTTCTCATGGTAAACCAGGTATTTTGCAGGTGGTATTTGTAGTATCAAATTGCCTCTAAATGTTTTAGTTTTAATAGAGTGATGAGCTTGGTGTCAATTATAAAATTATTAGATTGGATTTATGTCTTAAGTCATCCAGATTCTAGAACATCAATTTTAATCATTTTCACAGTGTGTTTTGTACTAAGGACTTGACCAGTCCCAAGTAACTAACTACACAGCTAGTCTTCCTTCCTGTCAGAGACATAGTTAAGCACAAAGACATCTTTGCCAGCACTGAGGTTAATAGGCTCTATATGTTATTTTGTCTTGTTCTGTTTGGGCCAAGCCATCCTTAGAAATGTTTGTAATTCACACTGGCATATTCAAACGTGACCATCTCAGACTAAAAAACAAGAGAAGGAAATCAACATTTCTGTCTACTTCTTGTCCTCCTTTTTTTCTTACTCCATCTTCATCTTTCTTTTTTTCTTTTTATTTCTGGTCTTACATTTTTGGACAAAATAAAAGTAAGCCAATGTGTTCTGATCATAAAGATAAACACAGACGTTAACAAGATGACTTTACTAATTAGTTTTTATTTAAGCAGAGAAACTCGATTAAAGTTTTAATTTAATTTTATTTAAGTTAATTAAATAAGAACTTAATTTTGAGTCAGCCCCAAAACTCAGTTATTATGTAGAATTTTGTACTTCACTCCATGCTGAATTATTTACTCAATGTTGTGAATATGGTTTGTCCCAGGTCTTTAAAAGTTAAAAACATACTTTCTCTAAACATATCTTAGAAAACTTTTGCTTACATTTTTAAACTTTTACATTAAAGAATTGTTTACAATGGGTTTGAGTCAGGAAGATTTTATTTGCTTATGTTTAAAAAAAAAGTGAGACATCAACAACAGAAACCATACAAATAAAGAAAACAGAGCTGGAGTGTGGGAACGAGAGAATAGCTGTCTAATTCAACATAAGCAAAACCTCGGGAATGATTTTTAAAGAATAATGAAAACCTGTTATTTTCTTCACTCTTCTTGATATCAGTCATTTCTGGTGAAATTACAGAGAGAATGGGAGATTTTAGTCTTCAAGTGTATGACAAATGCATTACCCTCTGAAAACACCCTTCTTTTATTTCAGTAATAAATCATACCCTTTACATTTTTTTCCCAATAAAGCTGTCCCATTTGGATATTTGACCAGTTGATTGACTCTCATGCTGAATACTTGAATAGTTTAATTTTATATAGATTTATTGTAATAATCTCTCTACTTTGACCCAAATCTTTGACTATGTCAATAAAAGCATAAAGAACAGAAAACATCCCATAAATGTACCACTTTTGCCCTGCCCCCGTGTTACACCATAAAAAAATTGAGTTTCCAGACTAATCTGTGTTCCCAGGGAGGCACCTTGAACAGCAAAGATAGAAAATTGCTTCTTCCTATTCTAAATCAATAATGAGAAGGGGATCCATGTTTTATAAAACAATACTTCTATGTAGACAAATACAGTGAAATGGAGTAAAGGCAAAGGATAAGGGGTGTGTTGGCAGGCTAAGGGCTGGTTTTCATTAGGAAAACTCCTATGGCAAGATAGCTGCAAAGGACATGTGCAGATGGACAGGTCTTGTTTGTGCTTCCCTCCAATTTAAATTGAGATAGCACTTGCTATTTTGTGAAGGAAACAGCTATGTTTTTCTTAGTAGTGGTGTTATTTCAAAGAGAATACAAAATATCAAGGTTGAAATATGTCATTGTTTTGTATTGACACATTTAAAATTTCTACTTGTGATAACATTTTTTTCTATCACAGAAGAAAAAGGTGTCAAGCAGATAAAAGCTACCACAATAGAAAAAACAGGTAAATAGATATTTCATATTTTTCTTCTGTGAATCAGTTCTTTGTTATGCGGATATACACATACATCTTCAATGAAGTTTGCATACTTTTAGTGCATAAATACTAAGATTCCAAATTCTTGTAAATAACTAAAGCCATACTCAACAAAATTAACACTGGAAAACTGGAGTAACATAATTTTATTTTATTAAAGTGGATTGACCTAAGTTTACATACAATCCACGAGGAAATCCATGTAATAGCATTAATTATCATGTACTAATTGATGTTTAATCTTTTCTCCAAATCAGATTTTCTCAAATTTTAAAGACACACAAAACAACTTAAATCATCTATTATTTATGCACTGAATAGAATAATATCTTCTCATGAGAATTCTGCAGAGTTCGGTGGTTGTATAACTTTTAAAATCTGCCCTAAAGGATTATCAGCAGAATGTGTAATATTAAAGGAATAAACAGTCTATCCTCTATTATTTCATGTGAGAAAAATAAAGAATTGCATGCACTCTTGCAGTTCTGTAAGGATGGACAGAACCAAGTCTCCATTCCCACTGACATCTTGAAACACTAGATCTCCACCATTTAATTCTGTGACAGAAACCTACCCACATTGATCATTAATCGAGTTCCACCTCTTATTAAAAATAATTTCAATAATAATGTCTGTGAAGTAATTTCTTTCAACTGAGATAATCATGATAATAAGTATGTAAATACAGTTTCTCAGAGAAAAATGTAATAGAACACATAAAAGAACGATTTAGAGAAATTATAGGCTATTATTACATGAGAAAGAAAACAACCCATTAGGCGACTTCACATTACCTTTTATGACAATTATACTCTATTTAAACCATTGCCTAAGTTCATAATTTCAGTTAATGTGCCCCTAATTTTCACCCTAAGATATTAATATTGGCCTCCTGAGTATCTCATTTAGTTACATAGATAATTGAGGATCATAACGAAAGTAGCCCAATGTATTTGTGTTCCAAATGCGTTGTTTTAAATTTTACATACATTTTGTGTGCCTTAGTTTTTCATTAGCAATGTGATTAATCTTTTTATTTACAGTAAAATAATAGGGCTCAGAGAAAATGGACTAAGCTTAAGATAAGAAGGAAATCTAAAACCTAAGAATATTAAGTATAAATGCTAAAGAGTTATTTTTTCATGGTTTATGCTCATCAATATAGCATTTATTTTTCTCTAGTCTCCACAGTCAAGCCTAAATCAGCAAGTAAGAGATGAAAAGAATAAAACTTGAAAAGTATTGCTTGGTCTTTCAACTTTAACAATTTGCATTTTTTTTTTTTTTTAGTTTTTATTTTTAGTGTTTCCTAAGACTAAAATACCTATATAGCTAATAAATTGATGTCATTGCTATGGCTTTGATTTAACATCCTTTTTTTTTTACTACTAATTAATAGTTAACAATAATTATACAAAAGAAATATCTGGAAGTTGCATCACTACTATTAATATTAAAACAGTGAGTCCACATGAGCTATAAAAAAAAAAAACCACTAAAAAATTAGGGTAGATGAGCATCTTTTAAACATACATAATAAATACAAAAAAAAATAAGAAATTCTATACTACTATTCTTATGAGTCACATACTGTTTTGTTTATTTAAGAAGAATTTATTATATTGTAGGTAGAAATCCATTAAATTATAAACATTTTGTGATTTGTTTATGAAAATCATGGAATTTTTTTCATGGGTGTGGACTTTAAAGATCAGCCATTTTATTGTTCAGGAATGACACAGAGATTATTAGAGTCATAGAGAGCTTAAAACTGACTGTTGGGCTCAGGAAGGCATGAACATTTGCCCATTGTCACAAAGGGAATAGATACATCTAAGATTGTATCAGAATTGTGATGGTGGTTCTTAACTGGTATATATTTGTGAAATGAAAGCTTTAATGAAGGCATGAGTAGCTGTTAGTCATATATTCTCTGGCTCCTGTATGAAAATAGATCGACAAGGTCCAAAGATGAATTTGATGAGACCAGTTAGGAGGATATATAAGTTGTTTAGGAGATATGCTACAAATGTATGGAGACTAAATATTCCCATCCTAGAACCTGTTCCATGTATTTTGAAAAAAACATTTTATAGTATTATTACTATAAATTTGTATGCTATTACTATAACAGTTGAATAACTTGCATATTAACTTCTTAATTTTCTTTTATTTTGCATGCTTATTTAATACTAACATTTATGCAAACTAAGTTCATATATGTTTGCTCTTAAATGCTGTCAATCTCTAATTTACACATATCCAATTTAGTCTTATGACAGCCTGGGTCTCTCATCTTCAAACCTTCTTAACTGTTGGTGCACCATGTTGGGGAGTGGTAGTACTTTTAGAGAATCTCCAAATTCAAGAGTGAGATAAACAAAAGATGGGTAAATATCAGTAATAGCTCAGGAAAACTAACCCTAGAGGTGATTAAAAAGAGTTAATACTTGGCAATGATCTCTATTTCTAAATATTCTCAACTTTATTCAAAATATCCTACCCTATGTGGCTTCATTTGAGAGTGATCTCCTATTTCTTTTTCCAATTCAAATATTTTTCAGAGGACTAAGAGAGATATCAATATACATTTTTATTTCATTTGTCATGTTCTAGACTTAGTTTACATTCCTCTGTGAGAATTCTAAGTGGATCTGGGAAAAGAGTGTGTGTGGGTCAGAAAAATACAAATACAATGAGGTACTTTCTGGAATAGGGCAGATCTAGATAAACATTTCAACAAAAAACAAATGTCCAGTATTAAATTGTTTCTGACCCAGCAAGAAGGGTACTAGAAGGAGTCAGAGAGGTAAAAAAGGAGATTGTAATACACCAAAGGCAAATGTCATCTGCTTTAAAATTTCCCCATGGAATGACTCAACCTTCAGCAAAGAAAGAAAAATCCTCTTATTATTCCCCTCTATTTGTAGTTTATCCTCTTCTTTTTATACCACACGGCCCCACGAGAGCTAGTGCCTTCACAACTGCTTTACAGAATGCCCTGGGAATGAACCTGACCTTGTTTTTAATGTGTTTCTGTGGCAATATGCTTTCTGTGTTCCAAGTTATATGCAAATGACTTTGGGAGCATGCTTCCCATATTAATAAGGATAGCCAGCAAATAAATAAATATGAAGAGCTTGCTACACAAACAATCCACAGATTGCCAGTTAATTTTTATTTTTCTCTCTCTCTAGAGAAAGTTGAACATCTGGAAAAAGAATCTCCACCTATAAAAACAGGTGTTTTTGCATTTTTGGTTTACACTGTCTTAATTCACTAGTCTTATTAAATTTGAAAATGAAAGCAAAGCATAAAAATGCTTTGCATTTTGTTTTCTGGGAACTTAGTCTTGTGGTTCTGTGGTAAAATCTAGTTTATCTGACATGAGGCTGTAATAGTGTTGACAATGAAATATATTGCTGATATTATAACCAATATATATGGATTGCCAAACATGGTATTATAATACAGCAGTATTAACAAAATAGTATTTTCTTTTATATTTACAAGACCCTTTCAAAGTATAAATTTACTGTTGTCAATATTAGTATCATTTATATTTATGACATTGATTCACTGTCTATAGTACTGTAAAATATCCTTTCAATTTGCACATACAGTATTTCACTAAAAACTAATCATGAATTTCAACAATATATATTTTCTTAATAGAAATTATCCCATTCTGTACTAGTTTAATTACTTTAAGAATATTAATCAGTTTTTGAAATATATAGTATTTGTCACGGTTCAAACACTAAGGCATGTAGTAGACTGAGAAAATATCCCTCCCTCTTCTGTGTCTTTTCCTATTATACCAGTTCCCACTCCCAAAGTATCTAATAATATCCTATAGGTAATCACTGTTATTTCTTAATGTAGCCTTGTAGCAATATATATAAATACATACACACATACGTATATAGAAATAACATATATTCCCATTTTTAATACAAATCATGACAGAGTATAAATAGCCCTTTACCTAGATTTTTATATTTAAGAGTATATTTTGAAGATATTTTTATATCAGTAGATAAAAATTTACCTCATTAATAGCATTATCTTATGTAGTTGTACATATTTTACTTAACTAGTCTCTGATTGAGATATGATTGAGTTGTCTAATAAGCTTTCTTTAATAATATACAATAATGAATATATCTACCTATCTAGTCTTGTGAATTACTCTTGGGGTAAAAGTCCTTAAAATAACTTTTTTTTTTCAGTAAAATGGTACATTCAATGTAATTGTTATAGATTTTTAAATTATTCTTTAAGTAAAGTTGTATCAATTTGTATTGCTTACTGTTAATTAATTAATTAGTTGACCTAATTTTGGATGATTCAAATTCTTCAAAATCATGAACAAATGTTGGCTACTTTTTAATGAATTAATTGATCTTGAGATATAAGGCTGAATAATTAATGCTTTTATTAATACCTTCAGAAGACAAGTTATACTGGAGAAAGAGATCCTGCATTTAGATGGTATAGCTTTGCGCTTTTCACCTACCTCTTATTTATTCTTCCTAAGATGTAATAAAGTTAGGTTCTTCTTTCAAACACTAGATTGGGAGAATATAAATAGTCAATATTAATTAATGTTAATATGTATTCTGTAAGGAGAGTGACAGAATGCACATTTCTGTGCCATTAAGAAACAAGAAGGCGTTCAGGTTACCGTGAGCATTTATATTGCATCACATCAAAGACAATGTTTCACCAGAATAAAGAAGAGACCATGAAGAAGATTTACAACTTCTCATTTGGAGACTTCACTGGGGATAGGACTTAAAAATTACTCAAAATGCATTGCTTATTGCTCATTTTAAGTATAAGTTTAGCCTTTGGCTATTTTAACTTGAACAAACAGAAATAGGAAATAAAAATGGCTGATATTTTACCTACGGATAATAATTATCACTAATTTTTTTTCATTTTTACTTTTTAGACAAACCAAAACCAACTTTAAGTAAGTGCACCATTTTAGAATTTTAAGAACTTGCTATTTAATTATTTTAAATGTATAATTATTTGCATTGTACATGAAGTAAAAAAGTACAATATATTAATGCAATAACCATTATGCCATTAACAATACAAATGATTATGATTGAGAAAGTATTGTGTATATTGTATTTATTAATCCTTGAACATGTATTAGTTGAGCACCTAATACATATATTATACCACATCAGGATATATGAGAAATGCCTAAAATGATTTTTTGTTGCCATACCTGTGAAATTAACACATTTGCCATGATAACTAATGACCTGTGCAGAATTAAGTGGTTACATCTTTCTTTTATTTACTTTCAGTTGTTGATTAGGATGTACTGAGTAAACACAGTATGGAGTTCCCTCTACTAGTCACTACTGGGTTAAGAAAAATTCAGAATATATAATATCTGTCTTCAATTATTTCATTTTAACATATTTGCTTTTTATTTTCTTATTTTTTTCAAAATTGAAAGGTAAGTTGTTTTTAGTATTTTAGAATTACTGTCTTACTTTGATGTTTCAAACAATAATAAAAATGCAACAGTTTATGAAATCTTTAAAATTTATGAATGTTATATAATTTTATAAAAATGCAATGTTTATTGAATACTGTGAAATAATGATCCAGACTTTACCCTGGAGTAAAAATATGTACTTTGAATCAAGAGTGTATCTAGAAGTTGTATCTAAAGTTTTTAAATTGAAAAATTAAAGAAAAGAAAAAATAAATAAAGTTTTAAAATGGCAAAGACTAACCTGGTTTCTTAAGAGTGTTATAACATATTCTTACAAATGCAGCTACAATTTTCTTCTATATAGATTCTATGCCAATGCAAAACATTAAATGTTGCCTTTGAGTTGGAAAAAAATCTCTAGTCTACTCAGTTTGTATTATGGCCACTAATGTGAAGTGTATAATAAAAATTAAAGATTGAAAGTCAAAACTAGAATGCTAATATAAAATATAGTCATTTGAAAATAATGTTTAATCTATGAAACATTATTTTCTGTCTTAATTATTGTAAATATTTGAATCCATTTTTCTTGAATTTTAAACTAGCTTCTAAAAAAGTTATGTACCACTGATAATTAAATGTATTAGTTTTATGGAATATGTTATCACTTTAGCTGATTTGTGAGGAAAGATGTATTTTTAAAAACCTGACATGTTATATTTTTAAATATTGTTAGTCTATACATTTACTTAAGAAACAAAACAAAACACTGGTTCGACATTATCATAGGCTAAGCATAAATTACATTTTATATCTTGTCTCACTACGCCAACTGCAGTCACCATGAGTTGAGTTTATTTCTGTGATATGTTCAATCTCACCCCACAATCCCACCCATTGCATTTTGTAAGCACTGTACATGAAGTTGCTTTAAAATATAGTCAATAAATGTATGATGCATGGATATATGAAGATCAAGTTAAACGTTTATGTGATGGAGATTTATAATTTGTAATTTTTTATTTATAATTAAGAAAACCAACCAAGCAACTTAGAATTGATTAATTCTAACTTATATGAATAACTTTTAAGTTTGTTTGTAAAATGGTTCTATTCTCAAAATAGATTTCCAGGTACAGTTTTCAGAAAGATTAGCTATCAGTATGTTTCTTTGCCATTTTGAGTATATGCCTCTATTGTCATTACTATTAAAATTCAATCGAAAATGTCTGCAGTTGATTCTCAATTGTCTGGTACTTAAATAAAAATACAATTCTTTCCTTCATTTTTCACTATTGTATTTTTCTTTTCTAAAGAGGAAACTTCAGAAGTCAGAGAATCAGGTAAATATTTACTTTTCCAGAGGAAGTACACAGATCTGTTGAAAACAGTATGCAAATCTGAGTCTCTATGTAACTGTGTGACATTTGGGAAAATTTCTTAACTGCTCAGAGTCCCAGTTTCCTCGTCTATAGAACAGGAATAATGACTTCCCCCAAAGGCTTGTTGTAAATATTAAATGAAATAGCATGTAACAATTCCATTACATATTTGGTTGTCACTCACTAAATATCGGTTTCCATCTCATTCCTGTTTGATTGCTCAATCATAGTAAATACGTAGAGATCTCTGTGTGTATAAGGGAGGGGTGTGTCTTGTTTTTCACTAGTTCTCTGTTGCTGCTTACTGAAGTATGTATACCTGAAATGACAGGACATTTTTAGACATAAAATAATTAATAATTTAGGCATATAATTATCAGTAATATTAAGGAGTAAAATTTAGAATAAGAGAGCAAACCAAATTTGTAGAAAGATATAGGAACACAGTTTGTATGTTGGAACTTTTTCCAAAATGTTAATACCGTTTAAGATTATCAGCAAGAAGAATGAGAAGAAACCAATTACTTAGAAAATCCATAGCCATATCCTTTCCTATTATTAGTTCATTTAAACCTTAGTACAGGACCAATTATCATGCCCAGTTTAAAGATGATGCAAGTGTAATGAAAATAAGTCTAACATCTCAGAGTATTTACATGGTAGATTCAGGAATTGGCTCCAAGTCAGTGTGATGCTTAACAGTTAAGCCTATTCAATCATATTTTATCCTCCTATAACACTGTGACAAATAAAAGGGGAAGCCTTGTACCAAACAGAGTAGCCTAAAGATAAAATGTTCCCCACATTGTCCCCGAGGAAGTAGTCTATTAAAACTATGACTAGAGGGCTGTGCAAGGGATTCAGACATTGGATGGATACTCCTTTCTATTCCCACTCTGTGCATGCATCATTTCTGAAATCTTTATGTTATGAATACACAGCAGGAAAGAATTGTTGTATATGAAAGCACAAGCCCAGCCCAGAGCTAGTTGAGAGTATAGGCACATTTTCATTCATTTTTTTAATTAAACAGATAATTTCTTATATCACAATAAATGTTTGAGTCCTTTCTAAGTTCCTGTCTTTTTAGCCAAGCCTAGTATTTTTAAAGAAAAAATAATGACACATTAGACTTACTGAAGTATTTTTCTGAATTATTTTATTTGTTTTACAATTTCATGTATGAGGTGTGTTGCTATAATAGCACTGAAAACATAAGGATATCAAGTGAAATATTTTTTTTATCTTTCTCTTGGCATTACTTAATTTTTATAAATTTGTAATTCTTAGAAACTTTAGAATAAAGTCTATATTACAAACTCGACAAGTCTCAAAGTAAATAATGTAATGCAGATTTCTTTGAAATAGTATTTTCAAGCTTAGTCTTTTAAATTAGACAAATGTTGGTAGAATGTAAATGTTAACAAGCCTCTTCTTTTTCAAGAAGTTAGAATGTCTGCTATAGTATTTGAGACAATCATCTCACTTTATATCTTTGTCTTACATACTTACAACTTAATGGAAAACCATATTATTTTAAGGAATTATAATCTCTTATTGAAACTAATAAATAAATAGTTATAGAAAATTAAATTGATTTTGCATGTTGCTTTCTAAGATTGGATTTTACAGTTGAGTTGGTAGTTATTTGTCTTTATTCACCTTTGAAAAGAAAATAGTTTTCAATGATACATTTTTATGAATTTTGGAAACTTAAAGCAAATATTTAGATTAATTATACCATCCAAAGTAATTTTCTAAATGAGGTATAATTATAGTCAAAACAAAACACTTAATTTTAAAAAAAGTCCTGCTGATTTTAATAAGGGTGTTTAAAAAGCATAAACATATTTGACACATTCAATGATTAATAGCTTTTTTAATATCTCACTTAAAAGCAATTAAGATATTCAAAGATCCATGTTCTCAGGCAATAGTTATATTTCTTTATTAATTCTTAGACAATAAGAAAAAAGTCAAAGTTGTTAGAAACTTTTATATAGTTCAGTGATGTATAATTTCTTTGTATTTTATCTGAGTTAAACAAAATTTAATCTTTTCTTTTTTTTAGCAAAAAAACCTGCAAGAGTATCAAGTAAGTACTGCTTCTATTGATGATAAATTCTCTTTGGTACACAGTAAAAATTCTAAGCTGGAATTTATAAAATATTTATAGTTTTAATGTATTTAGAGGTTGATTCATTTTATACTGAACCCCCTGACAAGAATTTTTTAACTTTTCATCTTACTTATGCTGAAACTTAGCAAAAAAAACTACCTTATTTGAAATGACAACTTATAACAGAAATACCTTATCATGTTCTTGAGTCTAAAGATTAAAATGACTTGCATTCAAATATATAAATATTTTCAGTGATTAAAGTAGAATGAAACAAAATAATCTTGTTTCTGCTTTAAATCTTTAATCACTAAACGTTTGCAATAGAGCATATATGGTCAGGTAATTATTTTTGTTGTTTTCTAATCTTCATTAATTTAAATATAATTGCATTTCTGAGAATGACACAGGAATGGATCTAATCTTGTATAGCATAAACAGACAGAGCTCTTAGAAAACACTCTGAAACATCAAGATCTAGGTACAGGTAGGGCTTCTACGCAGTGGTTCTCAACCTTTTTAATGCCGTGACCCTTTAATACAGTGCCTCATGTTGTGATGACCCCCAACCATAAAATTATTTTCCTTGCTACTTCATACTTGTAATTTTGCTACTGTTATGTCTTAGGCAACCCCTGTGAAATGGTCATTTGGCCCCCAAAGGGGTCACGGCCCACAGGTTGAGAACCACTGACAGGACACAACTAAACTTTTCTATAAGTTTCTTAAATTTCAGGTAATAGTAATTTTTATTTCTATGTTTCCAAATTAGGAAAAACAAATCATTTTAAATCAGTGTTGTTTAATGCAATATCATGTGAGCCACACATGTAATTTAAAAATTTCTAGTTGACACATGAAAGGGTAAAAGAAATAATTTTAATAATGTTATTTAACTCTATGCATACAAATACTATGTCTACATGTATTCAATATAGAAATGTATTGATAGTTTACATTATTATTTATATTGAGCTTTTGCAATTCTGTGTGTATTTTATATTTACGGCACATTTCAGCTTCTACTAGTCACATTTCAATCCCTGAAAGCTGCATATATCAAAGTTCTTTGATTGCAAAAACTGAAACTCCATATGAACTTGCTTCAGGAATTCTAAAAAGGATAATCATTACAAGGATACAGACTTGCCTCACTAATGGAAGGGCAAAACTTAGAGTTGATCTTCAGTCAAGCTCTCTGACACTATCTACTCCACACCCTCCCCTACAGCCACATTAGTCAGGGCAGGCTGCATGAAGGAAGTAATTCCAGAATGTATACCTTGGAGAATGAATACGATTGGATAACTGGAAAAAGATAAAAGTGGGTGTAAAGAAAACTTACTTCTGTGTATTTCTCCTTTACACTCACAAACTACCACACTCTCAGCCCTTCTGATACAAGATGTGTGGATACTTTTTCCACATCAAGCAATTCTCTGTGACACCAGCTGGACGTCCTACAATTCGATTAAATTTTGACACTGACTAGATTTAACACAGACAACATTGTTATTTTTCTGAACCCTCTTTTCAGCATTAGATATATGTATAATATTGGGGAGGTTAGACTTCTTATTGATTTTTTGGTCATTTATTTGTCTTTTACTAAAGGAAGTTCACAAAGCACCTCCTGCTTTAAAGCCATTGATCTGTTCTACCCACACCCTCTAACCACACTCCTAGTACCAGTATTTCTTGTTTTCTTGGAAGGGACCAGGTCCTCCACTTCCAGTAGGTAATTTTTTCCACTTTGGTGATGGATGCACTGATACCATCCTTATTCCCAGATTTTTTTGGCCAGGAAAGGGGAGTATTAAAAATTGGAAATTGATTAGTGTGAGACAGAAGAGAGGTGTCTCTTTCTGTACTCTGATGGTTCACTCTGATTGAGATGTGTGAAACCATTCAGAGGACTGAATTCTCACACATCTGGGCTTTTATTGTAGAAATAAGAAAAGATGCTGATAAGAATCAGCAGTGCACTAATATCTCTCTATAACATCAGTGAAAGTAACATAGCAAAATCAAATTTTTGATGATTCATAGACTATATGGTTTAATTAATGTTTCTTTTGTGGGTTCCTTTTAAAATATAGCTTTCTAATTTCTAAATATTCATTTTATTTCTATTCTGTATCTTTTTTTCTTTGGAGGTATAGTAAATACATAATGAATAATTTGCTTTCCATGGAGTTTACAGAAACACATCAAAGGGTATTAGAGTATAGTAGTATATTTATTAGATCTGTTAGCCTAAAAATTAAAAGCAATATAAACAGGTCACTGAATTTTTTTTTTCAGTAAAAATGTTTTATTTCCTGTTGACATTGCCACCTTTCAACTCATTGTCTTACCTGGCTCTGGTGGGAAGTCAACGGCCGTGGATTTGGGGGCTGCTGGGAGTAGAGGCAGCTGAGAATGCTTACCCCATGCCAGCCTCTGGTTCACGTCTGCCAACACATGGCTGAAGGGAAAACAAGGCCCAGCGTACAATCGGCCAGTACTGTTCAGTGTTCGGGGCAGTCTCAACATGTCCCTCGGTTTATGATCAATTCACCTGGTGCAATTCCAGGCCTAAGTCACACAGCCTCTCCAGAATGGGACTGAAAATAAGATTTTTAAACCCCATTTTTGAGGGCAGCATGACATTCAATATCCTACCTACTGCAATTACTAGAAAAAAAAGGTAAATATCTTTCCTCCACTAACTTCAACATATATCAGGTGCCTACTGTGTACTATGTTTTTTTTTTTTTTAATTATTTATTTTTGTTACAGATGTTTCTCCTCTCTCCCCCACTGACTCCTCCCTCCCCCCTCTCTGCCCTGTCCCCAGCTTTGTTGTCCATGTTCATTGTTCATGCATACGTGCATATAAGTTCTGTGGTTTATCTCTCCCCAGCCACCAGTTCTTCTGGGGATTGTCAGTCTGTACCCTACTTCCACATCTCTGGGACTACCCCATTCCTCAGATTGTTCTGTTCATTATATTCCACAAATTAGAGAGATCATGTGATAGTTGTCTTTCTCTGTTTGGCTTCTTTTGCTTAGGATAATTAATACTTTTCAGGTCCCTCCATGTCATCTCAAAGGATAAGAGATCTTTCTTTCTTACAGCTGCATAGTACTCCGTTGTGTATATGTACCATTGCTTTTTTATCCATTTGTCTACTAATGGACACTTGGGCTGTTTCCAGATTTTAGCTATTGTAAATAGTGCTGCTACAAACATGGGGGTACATATATTCTTTCTGATTGGTGTTTCAGACTTTTTAGGGTATATTCCTAGAAGTGAGATCACTGGGTCAAATGGAAGTTCAATTTTTAATTTTCTGAGGTAACACCATATTGCTTTCCATACTGGCTGCACCAGTCTGCATTCCCACCAGCAGTGTACTAGAGTCCCCTTTTCTCCAAACCCTTGCCAACACTTCTGGTTTAATACTTTGTTGATGGCGGCCATTCTGACAGGTGTGAGGTGATACCTCATTGTTATTTTAATTTGCATCTCTCTGATGATTAGTGATGTTGAGCATTTTTTCATATGTCTCTTAGCCATTTGTATGTCCTGTTTGGAGAGATGTTTATTTAGTTCCTCTGCTCATTTTTTAACTGGGATTTTTGTCTTCCATTTGTTGAACTGTATGAGCACTCTCTATATATTGGAAATTGATCCCTTATCTGATATATGCTTGGCAGTTATGCTCTTCCATACAGTGGGTTGCCTTTCCATTTTGATGATTGTATCTTTTGCTGTGCAGAAACTTTTGAGTTTGATGTAGTCCCATGTGTTTATTTTCTCCTTTGTTTCTGTTGCCTTAGGTGATGTATCAGTGAATATTCTGCTGTGTATGATGTCTGAAATTTTGTTGCCTATAGTTTGTTCTAGGATTGTTATGGATTCATGAGTCACATTTAAGTCTTTTATCTATTTTGAGTTTATTCTTGTGTATGGTGTAAGTTGATGGTCTAGTTTCACTTTTTTTTGCCTGTAACTGTCCAATTTTCCCAACACCATTTATTAAAGAAGCTGTCTTGACTCCACTATATGCTCTTGCCACTTTTGTCAAATATTAATTTAGCATATTACCTTGGGTCCATTTCTGGGTTCTCTGTTCTGTTCCACTGGTCTATATGCCTGTTCTTGTGCCAGTACCAGGCTGTTTTGATTACAGTGGCTTTGTAGTATAACCTGAAATCTGATAATGTAATCCCTCCAACTTTGTTCTTTTTCAAGGTCGCTGTGGCTATTCAAGGTTTTTATGGGTTCCATATGAACTTTTGAAGTATTTATTCTAGTTCTGTGAAGTATGTCATTGGTATTTTGATGGGGATTGCATTGAATCTATAGATTGCTTTGGGTAGTATGGACATTTTAATGATGTTAATTCTTCCAATCCATGAACAAGGTATGTGCTTCCATTTTTTTATAATCTTCCTCTATTTCTTTTTTCAATGACCTGTAGTTTTCTGAGAATAGGTCCTTTATTTCTTTGGTTAAGTTTATTCCTAGGTATCTTTTTTGCCGCAATGGTAAATAAGATTGTTTTCTTAGTTTCTCTTTCTGGTAATTTATCATTGGTGTATAAGAATGCCATCGATTTCTTGACATTAATTTTGTATTCTGCTACTTTGCCAAATTCATTTATTAACTCTAGTAAATTTTTGATGGACTCTTTGGGGTTTTCTACATATAGTATCATGTCATCTGCGAATAATGACAGTTTCACTTTCTCCTTTCCAATTTGGATCCCTTTTATTTTTTCTTCCTGTCTGATTGCTGTGGCTAAGACTTCCAATACTATGTTAAATAAGAGTGGTAAAAGTGGACATCCTTGTCTTGTTCCTGTTCTTCAGGGAAATGCTTTTAGTGTTTGTCCATTGAGTATGATGTTGGCTGTAGGTCTTTCATATATGGCCTTTATTATGTAGAAGATATGATCCCTCTGTTCCCAGATTGCTGAGCATTTTTA